GAGGAGGAGGAGGAGGAGGAGGAGGAGATTGGATTCATACCCCACCCTTCACTTGGAGTCTCAGAGCGGCTTACAAACTCCTTTCCCTTCCCCTCCCCACAACAGGCACCCTGTGAGGTAGGCGGGCTGAGAGAGCTCTGACACAAACTGCTCATGAGATAATAGCTCTGAGAGAACTTGTGACTGACCCAAGGTCACCCAGCTGGCTGCATGCAGAGGCGTGGGGGAATCAAACTTGGTTCTCCAGGTTAAAGAGTCTGCCGCTCTTAACCAGCTGGGAGTGTCGCTTTTCAGCCTCGGTTGACAAATTTGTTTAGGATGGCTCTGTTCCCCACAACCCATTCTGCCTTGTCAGGATAGAGGCAGCCAGGTTCTGTGGCAGACGCAACATCCAAGCGTGCTACACAGCAAACTTGGAAAACTCGTATACAGAACCACAGAGACAGATAAGTCAGGACCTTTGCAGCCCTTCCTTTCTACTCTCTGCTGATATCCTTTTGATGCAAGAGTCCAGTAGCAACTTAAAGGCGAACAAAATTTGTGGCAGGGGTGGAGCTTTCGCCCTTAAGGTGCTACCGGACTTGTGGCTCCTTGCTACATGCATATACGCAGCCCTGCCCATAATACCCCATTGCTTCTTAACCGCCAGGCGAGAGGCGAGCCAAGCTCCATCCGTCAGTCTCTCAGACCCACCTATCTGTCTTTCTGATCAATCCGCCCATCTGTTTAATCTATTCAACCTCCCCCGCGCTCTCCCTCACCCATCTGTCTGGGCCCTGTCTACATGTATAGTACAATCCAGGCATCTGTCTATAGAATCTGTCATGTCAAATTTGTCTGCCACTGGAACTCTAACACAACACACCGGCTCTGGCATTATGGCGAGTTAATGATGTGCAACAGGACACGCCGTTCGCCGGGACCCCGGGAAGACGGCAGGTCCCGGCGCTTCCAGTGGCTCCTGTTAAATCACTTATCTACAATTGTGCTGTGCAGCTGAAGAACCCCCAGAAAAAGGGGTCTAGAAAAAAAAGCAACTTTCTTCAACTAAAAAAAAAATACATAAGATAATCAGAAGAGCTCTGCTGGATCCAACCGATGGTCCATTTAGCCCAGCATCCCATCTTACATAGTAGCCAACCAATTCCTCTGGAAGGTCAATGAGGGGGCATAGAGGCCAAGGCCTTCCCCTGATAAAAACATCAGAACCTGCTGGACCAGACCAGTGAGGGTCCATCTAGTCCAGCATCCCATCTCACACAGTGACCAACCACTTCCTCTGGAGGTCTAAGAACAGGGCAGAGAGGCCAAGGCCTTCCCCTGATAAGAACATCAGAAGAGCCCTGCTGGACCAGACCTGTGTGGGACCATCTAGTCCAGCATCCCATCTCACACAGTGACCAACCACTTCCTCCGGAGGTCTAAGAACTGGGCATAGAGGCCAAGGCCTTCCCTTGATAAGAACATCAGAAGAGCCCTGCTGGATCAGACCAGTGAGGGTCCATCTAGTCCAGCATCCCGTCTCACACAGGGGCCAACCAGTTCCTCTGGAGGGCCAACAACAGGGCAGAAAGGCCGAGGCCTTCCCCTGAGAAGAACATCAGAAGAGCCCTGCTGGGTCAGACCAGGGAGGGTCCATCCAGTCCAGCATCCCGTCTCACACAGGGGCCAGCCAGTCCCTCTGGAGGGCCAACGACAGGGCAGAGGGGCCAAGGCCTTCCCCTGATAAGAACATCAGAAGAGCCCTGATGGATCAGACAAGTGAGGGTCCATCTAGTCCAGCATCTTGCCTCACACAGCGGCCAACCAGTTCCTCTGGAGGGCCAACAACAGGGCAGAGAGGCCGAGGCCTTCCCCTGATAACAACATCAAGAGCCCTTCTGGATCAGACCAGTGAGGGTCCATCTAGTCCTCAGTCCTGTCTCATACAGTGGCCAAACACTTCCTCTGGACAACCAACAACAGAGCACGGCGGCCTCCCCCTGATGTTGCCTTCTGGCACTGGAGTTCAGAGGCTGACTCCCTCTGACTGTGGAGGTTCCTTCTAATCATCAGGGCAAGTAGCCACTGACAGACCTCCCCTACCATCAATTTGCCTAACCCCCTTTTTAAAGCTATCAAACCCAGGAAATGAGAACTCCTTCTCGTCCAGACTTTAACCGTAACTCTGCCCTTGCAGGAAAAGCATTTAAGCTGTTCTGAAAACTGAACGCAAAAGAGGAGCCAAGTTGGGCCAAATGCAAACACAGCACATGTGCCCATGCACGCCCCCGCAGTTCAGTGTTACATTTAGTCATTCGCCTGGAACAAGCAGGGATCCCTCCCCCCACCCCGAAAAAATGACCAGGCCCAATGAGCGACACAGCGATCTGACCACTGCACTACACCAGGAAGGGCAACGCACAGGCAAAAAAACCTGGTGGCCTCTTCCAGAAAGCTTTATGGTCCCCCGTCACGGCTGCCTTCCTGGTAGGGGGAGCCAGAGGGTCCGTTTCTGACCATTCACCCCACGTGTGTGTGGCAGGGAGGGGGGGTACCATGGCAATGAGAAGTGAAATACACCTAAGCAGGGTGAGGCCGTTAAGAAAGGGAAAGGCCTAAAACCACCTTCTGGAACCCTTAGCAGGCACTAGCTAGATGTTCTGGCAGGCCTTTGGTTGAGGACAGCGACTGGGGCGGGGGGGGGAAATATTACATCTGGCACTCTCATATATTTCCCCATCCCTTGTGACCCCTCCCACCACATAGGCCGGGGAGCTGAAACTTTTTTCTTCTGCCATCTTAACTCATGGGATTCACTGGCACAGGAGGTGGCAGCGGCTACAAGCATGGACGGCTTCAAGAGGGAATTGGATCAACATATCGAGCAGAGGTCCATCGGTAGCTATTAGCCACAAGGTATAGATAGGATGTCACAGGCTGCAGCAAGGGATGCTCTGTATTCCTGGTGCTTGGGGGGGGGGACAACAGTGGGAGGGCTTCTAGTGTCCTGGCCCCGCTGCTGGACCTCCTGATGGCCCCTGGTGTTTTTGGCCACTGTGTGACACAGAGTGTTGGGCTGGATGGGCCACTGGTCTGATCCAACATTGGCTTCTCTTGTGTTCTTATCTATATATCTAATAGCCAAGTTGCCCCCTCCATGCGGATACCTAAATCCGCACATCGGGGGCACTTGGGGGGCAGGGAGATCTTCCTGCACACTTGGAACAGTCCCCAGGTGTGCAGAAAAATCTAAAAAGTTTAAAAAAACTGTACAGGGGATATTTAAATCCCCCCAAAAGTAAGCGTGTTACCTGCGCATGCGCAGAGAACGCTCTGGGAACTCTGCAGCGGCTGGGAGATGCTCAGGCCTCGCGGCCGGTGCCGGCGGGGGGGAATCGTCGGGCCTGGCAGCTTGGGGGCACTCCGGCCTCGCCGCCGGTGCCCGTGGGTGGGGGAATCAGCAGGCGGTGTGGGAGAAGGCTTACCTGCGGAGCTGCTTCTGCAGACCAGGAGCCTTCAGGAATACCCCCCTCCCACGCAACTATCATGGGTCCCACTTCTTGTGTTCTTTTTATCTACTGTCCTTCGTTTAGGGGTTTTTGATCTTTTTAATTTAGATTTTTTTTGTATACTACTCTGTTGCAAGCCGCCCTACCTGTAGGGAAGGGCAGCCTAGTAAATCTAATTTAATAATTAATTAATAATAGCTGCATGCAAGGTTACCTGAGGACTAGTAACTTGTTTTTATTTATTTAATTTCCTGCATGCTCCCCCTCCCCGCAGCGGACTCGAGGAGGCTTACAACATTTAAAAATACAATAAATACAATACAAATACATGGAAATCCAATAAATAAAACAACACAGCTAGTTAAAACATCAACCAATCCCTTGGAGAATTAAAAGAACTGCCAAGCGCCGTGGTTCGTAATGTCAACCAAAGGCCGCACAAAACGTTAAGTAGCCTCGCGTGCCTTGCAGAAGGCTGGAAGATTCCACAGGGCCATACTTTCCTGGGGAGCTGGTTCCAGAGAGAGGGGGCAGCCACTGAAAATGCCCTTGCCTTGGTGGTTGACATGCGGGCACCTGCGATGATGATTTAAGGAGGCGAGGGAGGGGTCATACTGGGAGAGGTGGGGGGGTAAGAAAACAGACATTCTGGAGAATACAAATTACTTCCACATGCGCAGGACTGAGAGAGACGCAGACAGGCAAGTTTCAGGGGGTGGTTGTCTTGCTCTGCCGTAAAAGAGCCAGATGCGAGTCCAATAGCACCTTAGGGACCAAAAAGATTTTCAGGGGATGAGCTTTGGAGGGTGACGAGAGGAGTTTTGACTTTCAAAAGCTCATGCCCCGAAAACCTTGTTAGTCTCTAAGGTGCAACTGAACTAGATCACGGGAGGTGGTTGTTCCGCTCTGATCTGCTATGGCCAGGCCTCACCTGGAGTCCTGCGTCCAGTTTTGGGCACCACATTTGAGGAAGGGTGTTGACAAGCTCGAGCGTGTCCAGAAGAGGGCAACCAGGATGGTGAGAGGGTTGGAGTCCATGTCTTACAAGGAAAGGCTGAAAGAGTCGGGTCTGTTTCGCCTGGGAAAGAGAAGGCTTAGAGGGGACATGATTGCAGTCTTCAAATATCTGAAGGGCTGTCACGTAGAAGATGAAGCGGATCTCTTCTCTCTTGCTCCGGATTGCAAGACTAGATCCAATGGGTGGAAATGACAAGGGAGTCGATACCGGCGGAATATCAGGAGAAACTTCCTGACTGTAAGAGTAGTTGAGCAGTGGAACAGACTGCCTCGGGAGGGGGTGGAGGCTCCTTCGCTGGATGTTTCCAAGCGGAGGCTGGACAACCATCTTTCAGGTATGTTGTGGGGCTATCGTTCGGCTACACTCCTGCAGAGTGCAGGGGGGGTTGGACTGGATGACCTGCAAGGTCCCTTCCAGCTCTTAACATTCTATGATTCCATGACTCTAGCTGTACAGGCAAGCAAGAGTGCCCTTGGACTCCCAGAACTGCCAGCCAAGAGCAGTGCAGCCCCGATGGAGTCCTAGGTTCCGATCCGCGTTTCCCAAACACTGCAAAAGGCAGGAGGAGGAAGAGGCTGCCCTATCCGGCTCTCCCCTAAAACATATCCATAAATTACTCTCGGTCCACAGAAACACTCTGTTGCAGAATTTTTTCCACGGTATTAAATTAGGCATGTAAATCTCAGATATCCTCTCCCGAAGATTCACGAGGTTGGGCTTTGAGGCCTGGGGAGGCGAACGCTGATTTAAGACCCAGAGAGCTTTACCGATGATTGGTGGCCCATTACGCTCCCATCGTCAGCACATTAGGGAGCATGCAGAGAGTGCGCTCCTAACCCCGCTCACGCTGTGGCTTTCATCACTCGCAATTGCATGTTTTGATATTTGCAAGGGCCCAGTGAAGTCGAGTTAGTCCTTTAAACTTTGCTAGCGTCGCCGAGAACACTGCCAGTGCTAAGAGCGGTCGTGGCCGTGAGGCACCCCAGGGTACGGCCCGACTCACACGCTATTGCCTGGTCCAGAAATAACAGTCTACGGGTGCCTTCAGACGGGCCATTTGAGCCGGTATACATGCCGGTTAGAAACGGACTACTTACGTGCGATCACACAGCCAACGTCTGCCTCCCGTCCCTAGCCGTTGCCAACCGGCTCAAACACCCTTTAAACCGGAGTATTTTGCTACCAGGTCCCCAAGTGGTGCTTTCCTGGTGTTCTGGTTGTAGCCGCATTTTCCTGACGTGTGATCACGCCTCTGCCAGTGTAGAGCCACTTCCACTCAGAAGCCCGAGGCTTCCACTTTTCATATATTTTTTTATGCGTAGGTGATATGCGCTTGGGCGAAGCTTTGCCCCGGCGTTAACAAAACCAAAGTTTAAACAATGCCTTGTTTAAGGCTTTAGACGACTCGGGGGGGGGGGGACACACACAGAACTTTCCCGGCTTTGCCTCTCTCCGCTCACCTCACGCAGTCTCAAGCTTCCATTGCTCGCGGTCCGAGCAGGCGAGCTGGCATCTAACAACCAGGAAGGAGGAGCCGCCCATACTGTACCAGCTGCTGACGGTGGGAATGAATGAGGCAGGCAAGGAGGCGGGAACTCGGGCTCCGCGACTTCTTGGAGTGCTCCTGTGAGAGCCTTCCTGCCAGTCCCCCTCCGGGAAGGGAGTGGGGGACCGCAGGGATTACACAGACTGTCCCGCCCTCCGCGTGCCGGCTAGATCCAAGCCGTCTGCTCCCAAGGGGGTCTCTGGAAGCGATGGGGCCAGTGGGGAGAGCTCCTCCGGGGAGAGGGCTTTCTTGCCTTGGATGTGCGTTTTGTTTGGGTCCCAGAGGATTCCCACACCCTGCCCTCCCCCCCTCCTCTGCTCTCGAGCTGCTGTGTGGACACCCGGGAGCGATGTGCTGCGCTGCGAGAGAGGGTGACGTGACCGTGCTTGTCCAGGATCAGATACAATCCGATTGGAACCGGAGCAGTTTAAACCACTCCGGCATGCCATCTGACCACACCCGATGATTAAATGAGCAGCCCCTCGAGCTCTCCTTCTCTTCCGGGCAGGCCCACAGCTACAATGGGGCATCTTGGGGCCCAGCCCCCTGACTTGCCCCCAAGGCCCCCCGACTTCCCATCCAACCCAGGCCCCCCAACTTCCAATTTTTTGTGTTATTTGTGGCACTCCCTGGGAAGGGTGGGTGCAAGGGTGTGTGCGGGGTGCCCTCAATTTATTTAAAGCCCCCCCAATTTAAAAATCCTGGCTACGGGCCTGCTTCCAGGGTGAATCCCCCCCCCCACCTTCCTTTCCCTTTTCGGAGCGGACCACGAAGCAGCATCCTCCCTGCATTGTTGTTACCACTAACCTCAGCCTCGCCCCAGAACTTGCAGAAGTCTGGGTCGAAGCCTGCCGTGAAGGCAATGCTGCCCTGCGGCTGGTTCTGAAGAGGAAGGGGGGAATTCATGGGAAGGAGACCACGGTACATGCCTGATTAGGAAGATTCAGGAGGGTAGCCAGGCTGGTCTGAAGCAACTGAATGAGGTTTGACTCCAGTGACACCTTTACGACCAACAAAGCTGAATTCTGGCTATAAGCTTTCGTGTGCATGCACAATTCTTCAGACAGGAGGAGGAGGACATTGGATTTATACCCCGCCCTTCACTACCCAAAGGTGTCTCAGAGCGGCTTACAGACTCCTTTTCCCTTCCCCTCCCCACAACAGACACCCTGGGAGGCCGGTGGGGCTGAGAGAGTTCTGACAGAGGCTGCTCTTTTTCAAGGACAGCTCTTATCAGAACTACGGCTTGCCCAAGGTCATCCAGCCAGGTGCAAGTGGAGGAGTGGGGAATCAAACCCGGTTTTCCCAGATTAGAGTCCGTGCACTTAACCACCACACCAAACACTACACCAAAAGAGCCAGAGTCCAGGAGCACCTTAAAGACGAAAAAAAAAGCAGGAGCTTTCGTGAGTCACTGCTCACTTCTACCTGAAGAAGTAACCAGTATCTAAAGAAGGGAGCCGTGACTCACCAAAGCTCCTCCCCTGCCACAAATTTTGTTCGTCTTTAAGGTGCTCCTGGATTCTTGCTCTTTTCTAGTGCCATGGACAGACTAACGTGGCTACCCATCTTCTTGATCCACTGCTTCAGATACTTTGGCAAGTATCCAGCCTGCCTTTGCAGAAGAGGGTGCAGCAGTTCTGACTGATTTCCTCCCCCCCAAAAAAAATAGCAGAATCCTATTTGCCTCCTGGGCAGTTCCTGAGGGTCTGCTAACCCTCTCCACCCAAGAATAAAAATTCAGGGGAGAGTTCAGGGATCTTCAGCAGGAGGGGGATGCAGTAAAGGCCCCCTCCACAAGGGCTGTGGGTGGTTGGAAGCAGTGTTCCCTCTAAGCTGAGTCAGTGTGAGCTGGCTCACAGTTTTTTAGCCTCCGGCTCACACATTTTTTTCCTTAGCTCAGGAAGGATGGGGCTCCAGAGCACACTAATTTACACAGCGGCCAAATCGCTCGCTCACAACTTTAATGCCGGTAGCTCACAAAGCAGGATTTTTGCTCAGGAGACTCCCACAGCTTAGAGGGAGCGCTGGTTGGACGCATGCCATTCCGTGCTACTTGCGTGTTGCTTTTCACAGCTGGTCGTGTTCGACTGTGGCTTTAATGGCCAGCCACCCTCAAAGCGGGGCTCTGAAGAGGCGGCACAGAAATATTCTGAATCAATAAATTAGATCGCCAACAAGCCAATGTCACGGCTAGGCAAAAACCAGGCTTTTCGTCTCTAAGGCGCAACCCAGCTAGTCACGCTGGCTTCTTTCTCTACCTTGGGGGATGGGGGACGGGGACGAAGTAACAAAACTAAAATAACATGGGGCATGAGCATAGCTGAAGACTGCCGAGAGAGAGTCCCCTGCCTACGGGAAACTGAACCCCCGTGGAAGGCACGGACAAGACGAAATAACTAAGCAGCTGATTAACAAAAGCAAAACGGAGCACAGAGACGGCCAACCTCGGCTGCACTAAAGTGACAAACTCCAGTTGTGGGGCGGGGTTGCCTGGGGACTTTCTAATCTCCCTTAGCAACCAACACCACCTCTACGACTCTTTTAAGCGGCAAGCCTGTGTCTTCTATTAATGTGGCCACTCACTGTACACAACGTGTGAGGGTCTTCTGGACGGATCCCTCTTTCATTGGGGGCTGGAATGGGGATCAGTACCCCTCCACTTGGAATGGCAGAGTGTTGGGGTTTGATAGTGAGATATTGAAAAAATGGTATCTAGCAGAGATAAGATAGCCCAGCAGAGCCTGAGTAAAATAATTCAGACTCAGAGTCCATGTGTGATTAAAATGTAAAGTTTTTACTAAATTCTATCATGGGAAGGGTAACTGGGATGAAAATAATAACGGAGCTAAATAGGCTACATCCTTACTCTACAAAGACAAGACTAGAAGGGAGCAATAATGGCTACTCTTACTTCTTCTTGAGAACAGCAAACAAAGATGGGAAGAGGAGCCATAAAATGCGTAAACACTTTGACACTTTCGTCCCAATCAAACTCCTAGATCAGGGAGAAAATACCCGGGCTTCTTACAGCTAAAGAACATTGGTTACATGAGAAACATGTGACTTCCTGTGAGTAACAGGAACAAACATTTAACCCCAGATATACTGAGTGTTTTCAACTTGTAATACCCAACACAGAGCCTTTGCAGTTTCGTTTTCCACACTGCCCCGTCTCTACCACCGCTCCGGGCAGCACAGGGCTCTTGACCGGCCTCTCGTGTTCTGCCCCAAGATGCTCTCCAGCGTCCCTACTCAAATGGATTCCCAGCACCATCTGGAAGTTTATTCATGGGATTCGATTTTTAAACTGCCCTTCCTTGTGGAGCAGGGCTCGGGGCGGTGCACGTCAATATAAAAACATATACACAGATACATTTATTCTTTTAACATTTATTCTTCTTTATTAATTCGATTTATATACTGCCCTCCCTGTAAACGGGCTCAATACACACACACAAACAATCATTTTTAAAAGGAGAGCCAGTTTGGTGTAGGGGTTAAGTGCGCGGACTCTAATCTGGGAGAACCAGGTTTGATTCCCCACTCCTCCACTTGCACCTGCTGGATGACCTTGGGCAAGCCGTAGTTCTGTCAGAGCTGTTCTTGAAAAAGAGCAGTTTCTGTCAAGAGCTCTTTCAGCCCCACCTACCTCACAGGGTGTCTGTTGTGGGGAGGGGAAGGGAAAGGAGTTTGTCAGCCACTCTGAGACACCTTTGGGTAATGAAGGGCGGGGTAGAAATCCAATCTCTTCTCTTCTTCTACTACTGCATATATGAGTTTGATCTGGAGCCATCCTCCCTGAGCGAAGACAAAAATTTGTGAGCTGGAGGCTAAAAGCCTGTGAGCTAGCTCACACTAACTCAGCTTAGAGGGAACATTGCACTGGGTGGCACTTTCTACTTCCCACCGGCGTAGCAGCACAGCCCCCTCCTACTCTCGCAAATGCTTTTCTCCGGGTCTAAAAAAAAAAGTGTCGGACTGGGTGGGCCTTTGGCCTGATCCAACATTGGCATCTCTTATGTTTTTATGTTAACCTCACGATTGATAGACCTTGAGAGTCTCCAGTCTAAGTAAGAAACAGGGGACTCCGGCAGGGCACAGACGGATGGCGGCCGATCAAGCCTTTTCCCTTATCTGTGGGGATCGCCAGACTTGCACACGGAGGACGCGTTTCCTCGCTCAAGCCCCAGCTAAAGAGAGCAAATGGGTCCCCAGCATATTGAGGCCTTGTTCAAACGTCACCCTTATGATAACAAGGGGGTGTGTGTTCCTTCCTCCCCCCCCCACCTTTGGCGGATGATTATTAATGCATTTCTCAGCGCCCAGTCCATCCCTCTAAATGAGACCCACCACGGCAGCCCGGGCAAGGAGGAAGCGTGATAAATGCCGCCCGCCCCCCACCACACACACACACCCCACTTGCTCGGCGGGAGCCGCCAGGGGTTTCCATTCTAACAAGCTTCAGATGTAAGATGACTGGAATAACAAAGTATGAATTTTTATGAGTCTAATAAATCACTTCACTTTTCCTGCTCTTCATCGTTTTCGGCACTTCAAATGCCAGCGGGGGGGGGGGGGACAGGACTGTAATCAGACGGCCTCGCGGAACTCCGTGCCAAAGACCAGCCGGCTGCCGGGAGACGGAAGCCAGACGTGGGCCTTCCTCCCGGCGTCTGGCGTAAAAAGGGGAGAGCTGAGTTTCAGCTGGGGAGGGACGGAGAAGCATGCTTAAGAATGAGGGGGAAATGAACTTTTCAGAAAATTCTGCATCCCACCCCCACCCCATGTTGAAGACCATGCTACTTTTTTCACAGGCTCCAAAAGCTGTATGAACTCTCTCGCGGTGTTTTTCAAACTATTCCAAACCAAGAGAATCCCCATTTGGATTCAATCCCCCCCCCCCCTCAAAGCACTCTCCGTGCACAGCTGCCTGGCATGCTCTAGAACAGGGGTGTCGAACCCATTTGTTATGAGGGCCGGATCTGAAATAAATGAGACCTCCTTGGGCCGGGCCCTGTGTGTCATAAAATGTAATGCCAGGTAGCGGAAGTATAAACTTTATAAGGGACACAGATAAAGGGTGGGGTTTTTTACATTTAATATAAAAACATGCTTAAAACATTAGCACTCTTGCAATATTTTGTTTATTTAACAGTGTCTGATAACTGACACCTCTTGCTCTGAATTAAAGAAGAAGAAGAAGAAGAGGAGGAGGAGGAGGAGGAGATTGGATTTATACCCCGTCCTTCAAAGGAGTCTCAGAGCGGCTCACAAACGCCTTTCCCTTCCCCTTCCCACAACAGACACCCTGTGAGGTAGGTGGGGCTGAGAGAGCTCTGACAGAAACGGTTCTTTTACAAGAACAGCTCTTATCAGAGCTTTTTCAAGAACAGCTCTTATCAGCTCTTATCAGAGCTACAGCTTGCCCAAGGTCATCCAGCCAGGTGCAAGTGGAGGAGTGGGGACTCAACCCGGTTCTCCCAGATTAGAGTCCGCGCACTTAACCACAACACCAGACTGGCTCAAAATGTCTGCACTGTTGCACTCTTGAGTATGCTGTTCAGGTGTGTGTATCTGTAAGCTGCAAACCTACGATGATGCAGCAGCAGCAGAACTGGAAGAAGAAGCAGAAGACAGCCAGTTCCACTGCGGGCCTGATAGGAGCCCTCCGAGGGCTTAATCCGGCCCCCGGGCCACATGTTTAACAACTAGAAAACTACTCTACCTTAGAACTAGACAGCAAAGGAATGGGACCCCCACACACACACACACACTGCCTTTCATCTCCTGTTTGCCCCTCCCTCCCGGCCCGTTCGAATGAGGTGGTTGGATGTGACTCATGGTTACCTGCACAGACAGATACCTGCACAGACAGGTGGTCTGCAGCAGTGGTTCGCCATCTTTTTGGTACGGTGGCCCACAAATCCAAATTTACTCGGTATGGCGACTCATCCTGGGCTGACCCAAGGTTTTTTGGCACCCCAGGCAAACTGCGACCTCGGCACCCATCCAGTTCTGAATTCTGTTTTCTACAGTGGTGAACCAGATGTTTTCGAGAAACCAACAGACACGGCACAAAGGGCACAGTTCCACACCCCACACACTATAAACCCCAAGCAAGCGGCATCGCACAATACCCAGCCTGAGCACATGGAGGTGACCTCCCAGCCCTCGACCACCCCCTCCTTCTCCATTAAAGGTAAAGACTCCCTTACTCAAAACCCAGTCGAGTCCGACTCTAGGGTTGCGGTGCTCATCTCCGTTTCCAAGCCGGAGAGCCAGCGCTGTCCGAAGTCGTTTCCGTGGCCATGTGGCTGGTATGACTAGATGCCAAGGCGCACGGAACGCTGTTACCTTCCCACCGAAGCGGTACCTATTTATCTGCTTGCGATTTCTTGCTTTTGAACTGCTGGGTTGGCAGGAGCTGGGGCCAGAGACAGGCGCTCGCTCCGTCACGCGGCACTCGGGTCTCGAACTGCTGAACTACCGACCTTCTGGTCTGCAGTTCAGCGTCTTAACCACTTGAGCCACCGCGGCCCCTCTTCTCCATTACTCCCTCTCCAATCCCCCAAAAGGCTCTAAGAACCTCACTCTAGTAACCATCAGGACATGTTTGACAACATGTATATGCAGCGTGTGTGTGTGGGGGGGGGAAATGTATGAAATGGAAGATACTGTTTCCAGGGTCAGATGATGGTTTCCCAAACACAACAGAGAGCAGCAGAAGGGTTGTTGGGAATGGGATTCTTTTAAGTTAGTCAGCAGAGTATTAAGAGACTGAGTCCATGGTGTGTATTAAAATATAAAAGTTTACTACAAACCTAACATGGGAAAAAGGTACACAGGATATGAAAATAACAAAGAGCTATTATGCCTACATCCTTGCAGCTAGAAGGTAAAACGGGAAGAGACAAATGGCGTCTCCTTCTCTAGTCAGAACAAAGAACGGGAAGAGAAGCCACAAAATGCTAATACTTGACACCTGGGTTTCCAATCAGAGTAGCACTAGTTCCAAAGTTCCCGGGCAACCTATTGTCTAAACAGATTGGTTACAAACAAACATGTGACTTAACAAACATCATTAACCCTGTAAACACTGAAGTGTTTTTAACTTGTCATACCCAACAAGGGGCCACATCAGGAAGGGCTGGCCCGCAACCCACCTGCAGAGGCCTCGTGACCCACAGGCTGGGAAACCCTGGTCTCCGGGACGAAGAGGAAATTTTTCAGCTTCTGGCCCCCACTTGTGTCACAAGCCAAGCCACTCTGAAAAATCCCTTGATTTGCAAATGCCTCAGTTGCACTCACACACACACAACCCCAAATGACACACCACCATGGGGAAACCTCTCCCACAAGGAAACTGAGGGTCACCCAACAGATCACCCTGTTTAGAGTGTGCAGTGGAGCTCATCAAATCTTGGTTCCGTGGACATGAGCAAAGCACAGAAGCATCCCAGATTTTCTTAAGGGGGGGCGGAGCAGCATACAGATGCCACAAAGACCTGTCAACCTACCTTGTCCTAAGCCTCTGAATCCCAGAGCCAGGAGGCAACATCAGGGGAAGGCCTCAGCCTCTCTGCCCTGTTCTTGGCTGTCCAGAGGAACTGGTTGGCCAACGTGTGAGATGGGATGCTGGACTAGAGGGACCCTCACTGGTCTGATCCCGCAGGGCTCTGTTGAGGTTCTTATGAAGGCCTTGGCCTCTCTGCCCTGTTGCTGGCCCTCCAGAGGAACTGGCTGGCCATTGTGTGAGACGGGAGGCTGGACTAGATGGACCCTCACTGGTCTGATCCAGCAGGGCTCTGTTGAGGTTCTTATGAAGGCCTCGGCCTCTGTGCCCTGTTATTGGCTGTCCAGAAGAACTGGTTGGCCACCGTGTGACAGAAGATGCTGGACTAGATGGGCCACTGGTCTGATCCAGCGGGGCTCTTCTAATGTGCTTATGACGGCCTCAGCCTCTCTGCCCTGTTGTTGGCTCTCTAGAGGAACTGGTTGGCCCCTGTGTGAGACGGGATGCTGGACTAGATGGACCCTCACTGGTCTGACCCAGCAGGGCTCTTCTGATGTCCTCATCAGGGGAAGGACTTGGCCTCTATGCCCTGGTGTTGTCCTTCCAGAGGAACTGATTGGTCACTGTGTGAGACAGGATGCTGGACTTGATGCACTATTGGTCTGATCCATCAGGGCTCTTCTGATGGGTTTATGTTCTTATTGCCATCTGGCAGGGAAACGGGCCCGAGGGAATAATTTTGGGATCCAGGGGTATACCATGCAATACAACCATACAGTACAATCAACTGGATTACCCATTTTTAAAAAGGTTTTTAACTTTTGCACATGACCAAAAAAGGGTCCTTAAAATATCTATCTGCCTGCCTTTCTCCTGCACATCTCGGGAGCCAAACAGGGTGGCGTTCCTGCTACCACGCCCCACGTGAGCAGAGAGCCTCCCCCCAGAACAAAGCCTCCCTGCTGCCGTCCTGCCCACGCCAGTCCTCTCCTCCTCCCGCTCGGGCCATTTCCCAGCAGGTCTGAAGTCCGGAGCTGGCCACAAAGTCTCCACACCTGGGTTCGGGCGCTGCCGGTTCAACCCCGTAAATCCATCCAAGGCGTTTTTCGCCTCTGACCACTTTTCATTTGCTTCCCCCGGCAGCGCACTGAATCAGGGAGGGAATTCATCTTTGACAAACATTTACCGATTATCAAATCACAACCGCAGCCCCAGACAAGGGCAATAAGTCACTTTAAACAGCCGCCCCAACCGCACTCTGAAGAGTTTGGGCAGCCCGCGATGACAAATAACTCCTGTCAACACCGCATGTTCCCCTCGCACGCGGAACCCTTGTTCTCCCTTGTTCCACGCTACCTAGTGTTTAATGACAGCGCTGTCAGACGAAGACAGAGCCCTCTGCGTCTGCGGACTGTCAACGCCCTATTAGAGGGAAGATTGAGACCCTACTCTTCTTAAACTCACTCAAGCAACACAACCTGCTAGTTTTTATAATTATTGTTCGAGAGCCATCGATCGCGGGCTGACATCTAACCTATCTGTATGAAATGGGAGTAGTTTGCTGGGTGACAGTTGCTATAGATTACGGGAGGTGGGGGTCCTCCCCCCCTTCTCCAACCCCCCCCCTTGCACGGCAAAGTCAAACGCGAAGCAAAAAAAAGGGGGCAAGAGAGAGCGCCGGTATTTCCAGACACGCACTTTCCGAGATGTGCAGTGATCCAAACCTCATATGGACAAGAAAAAACCTACAAAACGAGAGTCGCCCAACAGCTGCTCGCGATTTGCTAAGACGAAAGTTCTCACAAGTCAGAGGCAGGGGGCCGGGACTCAGTGGAAGAGCCTCTGCTTGGCGTGCAGGAAGTCCCAGGTTCGATCCCTGGTGGCAACTCTGATTTAAAAAGGACCAGGCAGCAGGTGATGTGAAAGACCTCTGCCTGAGACCCTGGAGAGCGGCTGCCAGTCTGAGTAGACAATACTGACCTTGACAGCAGCTTCATGCATTCAGGTGTGTGTTCACAAGCCCCCTCCAGAAAACAGACTTCTGCCTAACTGAGTGGGAGAAATACAGGGCTTGCAAGGCCGAATTGGTCAGGTTGGCCTTTGAAGGGTAATCCACATGTTTGGGCTGTTTTGATTAGTGGTACGGTGCTAGCCACATATTTTAGCAGTTTAATATTTTAATGTTAATATT